ATGGCAGTGCACTCCACACGCACACTTCGGCAGACACACGCCGGCGCCGGGCACGGGCAAGCGTAGCTTACACGCACACGGATGCACCTCCACCACAATTTCAAAAGTGGTCAAAGACGTCTTTACCTCATGCTGTTTCAATGAAAAGCATGTGCCCCGACCAAACGGCTGATATTTGTAAAGAGTGGAGCACAGAGCGGTGCCCTAAACCCATGTCAGCGCTCAATGTTGCGTTGGGATCGTTCATTTATCTTATAACCACGACGAAGCTTGTAAAACGCCATTTTACAAAAATATGTGCGAGTCATTCTGCTGTCTCAATCTCCTCATGTTCTGGGCATCAGCATTTACATCATCATCATCATCATCATCGCAAGCATCACTCAAGGCTTCTGTTCAGCACTCGCATGTTCCCAACATCTACATATTTTGTACATAAGCATTTACATTGCGATCATACCTTAAGCTTCTGCTCCACGCGAGCACTTCTGTACCGCAAAACACCCATAGCACTGAAAGGTCGCTTTAACTTACCAAGAAATGCGCTCAGCCAATGCGACCGTGCAGCATGGCACCGAACGAAAGAGGACGTGCTGTAACGCCTTGCTCGTCTGCAGACTGGTTTGCCTTTTTAAAGAGCTTTGAAGGGTGTTTTGCAGGTTACTTTTCGCAGCCTTCCCGCTTGTAACGTGCCTCGCCTGCTATTTTCGCACCTGTCACGCCGCCTTTGGCAGCGTTGAAAGACAATGAAAGACACGATTGGTGTGCAAGGGAAAGGTGATGAAACCCAATATTCCGCGATTTAAATGGGGTCCAAGCAAAAACAGCTTCATCATAACTGTAATGACAGTTTTATGTGGGAAATAGTTGCTCATGACGACTTGCGTAACACATTTTGTTGACATCTGTGCTGCCCAGTATTAGAGCAAGTGCACATTTCGTTGATATCTGTGGTACCCAGTGTTCCAACAAGCGCACTTTCGTTGTTACCTGTATCGCCCAGTGTTACAGCAAGAGCACATTTCGTTGATACCTGTACTGTCCAGTGTTACAGCAAGTGCCTTAGCTGCCATGCACAGGGCCGTGGCGAGATTTGGCCATCAGATACACGCTGGTTAGGTTGGCGTCAATCACGTGGGAGCAAATTGGCTGTAGATCGTGAAAGGAAAGCTCCAACTCAAGTACTTTAGAATTGCGACAATCCGCTGCAGTTAGCACAGCGGCGGCAATCCGCTGCAGCCGCGCTGCGGTAAACTTAAAAACATTCATTGTAGGGGAATTGGTTACGTACGCATTTCATTTCAAATTGACTTTCCGACGCGTCTGCCTATCGGGGTGAATACTTCAGCAGTCAGGATAAGCCGATAATTAATGTAAGGCGTACAAGCCACTTTGGCGCAATTCATGCAGAAAGCGATTCGACGCCAACGACATTCACATTGTTGGCTGCTAGATAAGTGCATGATGTAGGCACCTCCGGCTGGACGGCGTGGATCAATCGCAACACAGCAACGCATGACCCACAGGGGCCTGATTTAATGCTAATCCGCAATGGCGTCACTGGCACTCGATCCGTCTGCCCCTCCCCCTTGCAGAGGACTCTTGGATCGTCCATTACCACACGTTAGCACGCTATCTCAACACATGGCAGTTCGTGGTGCTCATGCAAGGTTTACGGCTTCGGCGTGAGGGTCCTAAACTGGAAGGCTCAACGGCGCACTGTGGAAGGTTTTAGCACTGAGACTTCCGCGGGTATGTGTGGATATATGTCATTCAACGGCTACAACGTGCGACGTTCTGACGTATTGACACTTCAGGAAGTTCGTCAGGTAAACCGTGGATACATCCACTGATGGTGTATGCAAGCATCACGTCCGACATTTCATATTTAACGTCACGGTCATTACCTGCAGGCGGCATTTGACTCAATATGCTGCTGCATTCATAAACGTTACGTTGATGGCGTCTGTAGCCTTCAGCGGTTTGACAAACACAAATGTTTCACTTCTCTTCTCAGCTCTGCGAAATTTCTACCGTCCCACACAAGACCCGACCAAAGCGTCAGCACCGGTGACAACCGTCCACACTCTGCCCTCGCACCGTGGTTGCCATAGAAGGAGATTACTTTGATAACCATGCAGCCTGTGTCTTGTAATTTCATGAGCGAGAGCACCGATCTCGCACGGCGAGAGAGCTAATGCAAGCCGAGGCCTGCCCAAACGTCTTGTCATACTTCCCGCGTTCAGGGTTCCCCACACGGAGACGCCCTCGGTGTTCAGGTCAGCACTCCTCGGCACCGGCAGCGAAGCTATGCTAAATGGCAGCGTTCCGCGCTAAAAAAGTTCACGCTAAATCGCCGCAAATGAGATGTGGGCATCGGAGGGAAGTGGTATAGCTGAGCAGGTAGCAGCATATGGGATATTATGGTTGAGGTTTTAGATGACAAATACGGATATCGTTCGAAAATAAATGTTCGCCCACGTGCATGCAACAGGCATACCAGCTTTCAAAGGGTGATATCGCATTTCACATTGCGGAGGGCCCCGGCCGGACTAAATTCACCTTTTGACACCAAGCCTAAGGAATGGCGTGAACAAACCAAAAGCCATTGATGGCTTAAAATTATTCCAATTATTTTGAGCGGAACGTGTCTGAGCACAAGCAATGCACGCAGGATCAACATCTAAACACCAAAGAAAATTAGATAAAATTTACATTTTTTACATCTTTTACATTCTTCGGAGGTTATAAGGGCATGTTCATCACAGAAATGCACAGCTCTTTACGCTAATTAGTTCTCTATAACACCCTGACGCCGGGCAAGTTAGCTTTGCTTGTTTACGAGCTCAAATAAGGAATTATGGCACCGGATTAGGCCATTAAATTGATGCATGGTAGAATGAAGGCATAAATGTTGGCACAAAGGAAAACATGCTTCAAAGCCGCGTGTTCTAACGTAAGCAATGCATCAACTTCGCCTTTGGCCTTTCTAGCGAAAGGTGGCGAACGGCACAGATTGACATTTAAATCGCACTAATAACAATATGTCTACTTTCACTTACACCTGTGTGGAAATAAATTGAAACAAAACGCAATTTTCGCTTAATCAACATGTCATTATCTGTGCCGAAAAGCTCCTGGGTATGACGCATCATTGCAGCCATGTCATTTTTCATGATTTTGTTTCAAAGAGTCAGTTTTTAACCAGTGGAGTTTTGTGGCTGGTTTGTTCCTGCGCATGCGCATGTAGGAACGGCACAGATCTTATTTTAAAAAGTTAACTGGCACTGTGTTCAGCCGTGCTGCAGTGCTGCTAAAATCAGAAATGGGGCATATCTACCGTGCACTAACGTGTTGTGCAGATCTTAAGCACTCGTGATTTATGTAAAAATGCAGCATTTCAATCAGCTTATCCATATTAAATGACAGCTTCCGGAAAATATACACATCCATTCCTCAGCCGTGGTCAGACAAACATATTAAGTGTAGATTCAGGCAGAATTTAAAAAGGTGTAAGATAACATCCCTCTAGCGCAACGAAAGTTAAGAAAAGTTAACGGAAAACAGACAGTTGACACAAAGCCTGACCAAACCATATGCAATGTGCTAAAGATCTGATGCCTCTCCATTGCAATTTAACAGAATGTTATCTTGGCACATGATAACTGAAATATTTGCCGCATGTATCTGTGCAACATATGCATAATTAGTCCTTTTAAATATCACATACACTCGCTATTGTCCCCCCCCCCCCCCCCGTTCTGTATGAAAAGTTGGAGACTGGCCGTTCCAGAAATGAAGATACCGTCCTTAATTTTCCTTTTTCTCCAGTTTGACTAATAATCTCAGGGGCTGCGGCGACACGTGTTCAGACGTGCTTCGAGATAAGTCCGAAAGATCAATGTCCGCGTTTTTTACCGCTCTCTGGTATCTGATCTTTCTGCTCTTTCAGCTTACGCATGCCTCCCCAAGATCAACCTTTCCGCATTAACGTGCAGCAGCAAACTCGAGAAAGAGGAAGATTAAGGAGCGCTTCTTCGTTTCTAAAACGACTCATGACAACCATCTGAGTACAAATCCGGTGTGCCGATAGCGAGTGTATGTATAACTTTGAATGATATGATTAGGGCAAAAGAAATAGGTAGTGCGCAGGAGGTGATGTGCAATATTGGGCGCGCTAATGGGCTTCCGGTCGGACCAATTCGTTCACGTGCGCGCGTTGTCTTGTTTCGCTGTCACAATGCGCAGTATATGCCGGTGTTGCATCGATGCAAAAATATGAAATGACTATGTACATATTCCACAGATATTCGCGGCAACAGTTGTTGGCCACTCGTGATACATCATCGTAAAATTCGGCGAAATTGCAGTTAAAGGTAACGAATCGTGAGCGAATTGCACGTGTTTTCACACGGGCTTGCATTAAGTATCTGTCAGGAATGCACACTGGTTGGTCTCCTTACATTCGTTGCGTCAGAGCAATGGGCACTTTGATTGTGAGTGAGTCCTTTAGGTTTTCTTAAGGTGTGCCTGAACCTCTTTCTCATGTTATTGTTTGAAGAGGTTGGGGAAGGATAGAGATAATCCCAAAAGTACCGTTGAATAAAATAACCTGATTTAAATGCTGCCTTTTTGCCCTATGTCGCTACCCAACAGCTTTCCTAACACATTCGCAATTCAGTAGGTTTTATTCTTTATTTTATTTAACCACCACAGTGGCAAACAATGCCCACCGCAAAAGCTTATCCATATATCCATGCCCATATATCTATGTCAATATAGCCATATGCATATATTAATATACAGATATCTATATACACATCTCCACATCCTCTAGCCGTATGCATACCCATACGCCTACGGGCATGAGTATTTAAGCAGTCACATCATCATGTCATATGTAAACTGTCATGGATGATACATGTTGAGTCGTAGCCCCCGTGAAATTCTGCACACGCTCCTGTCGGACCTATTCAGTCCATTATCTTCAAAGAACCCACCTGGATCGTCGTCGACAGCTCCGACGCTTTCAGTTTCACCGACGGCTGCAAAACCGAGCACTTCCACGGCCACAGTCCCGGGTCGACCACGTCTGGAGCTTTAATACCGCTCAGGTCCTCAGCTGGCTGAAGTCCACCGTATCTCGCCAGCACAGCAGACCAGTAAGTTTGTGACCAGACCAGACCACATACCAGCGAGCGAGCTCTCCGTCTCACCGGCAGCGGCGCGTTGCTTTCACAGCCGGCCAGCCCTCCGCCTGCACGCGCGAGAGACGCCGCCGCCGTCCCCAGCAGCGACCCCCGACCGCCCTCCGCCACCGTCCGGCGGTCACTTCCGAACCGCCGCCGCCGCTACCACCGCCGCCGAACGCGGCGCCTCCCACTGGCGGCGGCAGGGGGAGGCGCTATCGGACGCGTGGTTGTCCTCGAACGGGCCGCGGCCGCCGGTGTCTGCCGCTGCCACCGCGCGCTGGGCTCTGTGTCGGTTCCAGGGATGCTAGATGTCTGTCGCTGAGACTACACGGTGGGCTCTATGTCGGTTCCTGGGGTGCTGGATGTCTGTCGCTGCGACTACACGGTGGGCTCTATGTCGGTTCCTAGAGTGCTAGATGTCTGTCGCTGAGACTACACGGTGGGCTCTATGTCGGTTCCTAGAGTGCTAGATGTCTGTCGCTGAGACTACACGGTGGGCTCTTTGTCGGTTCCTGGGGTGCTGGATGTCTGTCGCTGCGACTACACGGTGGGCTCTATGTCGGTTCCTGGGGTGCTTGATGTCTGTCGCTGCGACTACACGGTAGGCTCTATGTCGGTTCCTGGGGTGCTTGATGTCTGTCGCTGCAGCTACACGGTGGACTCTACATCTGTTCCAGGGATGCTTATGTCTGTGGTGGCGACTACGTGGTGGGCTCTTTGTCGGTTCCAGGGCCACCAGTCCTTTAACCGAATGCCGAAGAATTCTCACAAATTTGTTCAACATGGTTCAGTTCGTGCCCAGTCAGATTTTGGTGCAGATTAGCGCGAATTTAGTGTCAAATCTTTAACGGGCGACTGCGAGCTCCGCCTTGGATTCAAACAGTTCGAAAGTATCGGATTCGCATCGCATGGATTCCACATCTAATGCACCAGAAGTAAAGCATTGGAAAAAACGGACCGCCGGCTCCGTGTGTCAGACGTTTTTTACATCTGTTTTACGTCTTAGCCTTGCACATCCTCTGGCGTAAAAGCGGGGGAGGGGGGGGGGGGGGGCGGTGAGACGGAAGGAGAGGAGCATTTCTCAAACTCGCCATTCGCCATGTTGATCTGCGTCGGTTGCGTGAAATTTCTGAGAAGAAAGTGTGATTATTTGACTTCGGGTGCTTCGACAAGGCTAGAAGTGTTTCTTGAGACAATATGATATCCCGGAGCCTCTGAAAGACTGTAGATAAAGGTACACTGCATTCACTTTTCATGGAGCTTGCATGGAAGCATCCCGGAATGAGCAGGACTAGTGAAGAAAAAATAAGCCGATCTTTTTAAAAGACCATTAATGTCATTGAAGGACATGGCTATGTAAGGAAAGATTCATCGCACGACACCAGGCCTGGTGATCGGAGAAGACCTCTGCTAAACCCACATCGAGGGGAGCTTCAATCGCATCTTTTTTATCGTCGAGGAGAGTTTCAGAATAAAATTGAGTGTTTGGGCGATAAGGCGGATCTCAACGCAGACGCGCAACAGGAACGGCCTATAATATTCTCATCAACTTGCGCAGCATCGTCATACTTATCAGGGGCGTAGTTTCGCAAAATGAGCTTGGGGGCCGCGCAGTGAAAAATGGCGAAATATGCTCCCAAAACAGAAAAAAAAACGGAGCTCGCAACGAACTTGGTCCACTTTGTTTTCAAACTTAGCGGCGGTGGGGAGGGGGTGGGGGTAGAGTTCATCTTGGGGGGTGGGGGGAGGAAGTTCCGGAGCTCCATCACTAAATAGGAAGCTACACCCCTGTTCACCAGCATCATCAATTTGCACAACTGCATAAACAACTCTTCCCTTGCGCTACTTGTCGATAGGTTGACATTCCGTGAACCCAGGCGCTCAAATTCACAACCTAGCTGTCTTTGAGCAAGGCCATTACTGCCTGCTGAGAGCGGGGGGCCTCTGAAACCTTCGGTCCAATAATTTTGTAGACTGATGCCTTAGCAAAGTTCCGGGTGCGCCGCTGGCGGCTTGTGATAGTGGTTGCATACATCGACACACTTGTTGGCATGGCTCAACGCAAGGAACCATAGACTTTGGACTTAACTTAAGAACCACATCAAGGAACCATCTATGTATATATATATATATATATATATATATATATATATATATATATACAACGTAATTGCAAAGTAAATTGCTTTGCCTTCGGAAAATAAGCTATAATTCAGCAGACATACCAGCTGCCACATTTTGCGCTGCATTTCTGTAAGAATTAGTCAATGCAATTTAGTAATTTGTGTTTCGCCTGCTTTTAACCTGGAACGGACGCTTTAATCAGGATGTTTTTTAGCAAGTGACGGGGATATGCCATAAACCATGCTATATCAGCACTGACGTCACAGATCAGTGGTGACACAGTGGTCTTCCACTGTCCCTCAGATTAGTGTTCTTCACAGATCTTCAGCCAAGATTCACGTCACATTCTAGACAGTATAAAATACCAAATAACTGGGCTTATTACTAGTCGCAAGAACCGCGGCTGGCAACAGCATCCGGCCACGTGCGCCGATTTAAATCGCCGCGTTGCAAACTGAGACAAACGTCATCAATTTGCTACGCGGCTATTTAAATCGGCGTTCCATTTGAGACAGATGAGCTCGAATGCTTGCCACACGGTAATGAACTGGGTTCAGTGCGCGTTCAGTGCAAGGCTGTTGGCTGCTGTTGGTTGCGTTCATGTCGTGAACAGCTGATCGGCTTGAAGAACGTAACCAATTGTCGGCCTTTTTTAAGGCGCTGTGCGGCTTTTCTAAGGATCTATCATGGAGGACGCCCTTAGTAATAGCGCTAAAAACCCTGCTCATCTAGGGTTTTTTTGTTTGGGCATACCCGACCTGTAGGTTCAGAGGTCAAGGGAGGACATTGGAGCGACACATGTCCAGGATTCATCTGGGGCTTCCTGCTGCTGAGAGGAACAGCGGCTGTGAGGTAAGATGCCGACTGCCGAGCATCGCTGGTGTAGGCCTTTCACATTGCCTGTTGTATCTCAGACTCAGCTTTCTGGCCGGCGGACAAGCGTGAAATAAAACGCTTTTAGTGACAATTTTTGTTTATGGTGCTAAATGAAGGTAATAAAGGTGTTGAAAAACGCCCTGTGCATCTGCTGATAACAATATTGCATGGGCTCTGAACTAAATCCCGCTGGTTCTTCGGAATTTACATCGGAATTCAGATCTTCGTGCTACATTCCGTTCAAAGTCCGTGTTAAGAGATGCGATTTCTGCGCCGGTAATGATTAAGCGAAGATAGTGAACGTCGCCACCGATCCCAGCTGATTGTACCATAACGTCATAAAACCAAAAAGGATATTGCTGTCAGGGGTTTGTAGACCCATGTGATTGGTGAATGTAGGACTACAGGGATGCAGTTTTGCAAAATACGTAGAGGTGAGGGAAGGGGAGGGCAGGGAGAAAAATATATCTGCCTGCCTCCAAAATTCATTTCAGCAGCTTTCTTTCAGATTTGATGCGCTTCCTTTTCAGAGCTAGGAGCAGGGGCGAAGTGTCTCAAGATTTGTTTAGCAGCGGGGGCTGAACCCTTAGTCTGGTGATTAATAAAACGTTATGAATAAAAATGATAAATACAAGTAGGAAACCGCATCTCTGGTTAGGAGACACACTACCGCCCCCCCCCCCCCCCCCTCCCTCCCCTCCTACTGGATATGAAAGTACACGCTTCGAAGCTGGTTATCAACAATCATTCAGTGTTTGATGGCCAGAAAATGATCCTTAAATGCAAATGAACTCCCTAGCGAAAAAATGGTTGATGGCTACGCCGTATTGCATTTAAGTTGCCTTCGTTTTTGCGACTGTTTCTGGTAGACTTGGCTTCAGGTGAAAGCTAAGACGGTTCCAAATTTCGTCGATGACAGTAAAGGCACTTTTTCACCCCTGCGCTCCACCCGCATCCACTGAGCTCTTACACATTGAATGAAATCTAACCATCGCGGTGGTTTCTCGTAAATAATTTCCGCAAGAATCTGTCGTAGAACAAAACTCAAATGAAAGGCATGAATCAAGTGACCTTTTTTTCATACGCGACGGGCGCATACCTGTCTAGCATTCAGGACATAACCAGCGCAGACCATTTCTGTCCAGCGCACCCAGCATTTCAACGAGTTTTTACCCCAGATGACGCACTACACAGTGCCGTTTATGGTACCGTTTTAGAAGCACAAAGGCATAAACTCCACCGGCGCCGACACAAGGCGAAATTTACGGCCCAAGTTGATCCCGAGGAAATAACCAGCCCACTGCCCACTGTGGCAGTCCCCAACAGTGTGTACGGATCACTGTCTCAGTGAGCGGTCCCCCTGTCACAACAAAACGCAAAATACTGGAAACACGCCAGAGTCAGTGCTAGGATGTAATTTTTCTGCGGGGAAGCCGGTATTAGCCTAGGTTTAGCTGTTGGCGCCGAGGTTTGGGCTGATAGCGCCAAGATTTGGGCTGTTTGCGCAAGAGAGAGAGAGAGAGAGAGAGAGAGAGAGAGGAGAGAGAGAGAGAGAGAGAGAGAGGAGAGAGAGAGAGAGAGAGAGAGAGAGAGAGAGAGAGAGAGAGAGAGAGAGAGAGAGAGAGGAGAGAGAGAGAGAGAGAGAGAGAGAGAGAGCAACATGACGTCGCTGTTTATGTTGTAAAAAAACAAATATTAACGAGTAAGACACATTTAACGTTATGGTGCGAACTTGTCTTGGAATGAGAATGTGACTTTTTGCTTAGAAACGGCTGTCTCGGTTTTGGGGGCACTTTGGAGACCAACCTTGAATTTGACCTTGTTTGACTTTTTTCGACCCGAAGGTCATGACCTAGGAATCTGAAACTTTGACCTACGTGAGCTGACGTACAGGTCAATACACCCTGTAAATTAAGTGTCGCTAGTTTTCTTAGTTCCCGAGATCTCAGGGGGTCAAATTTCCCTCCCCCAATTGAGCGAAGGTTATCTAGCCGGCCACCCTGGCGCGTGTAAGATATAACAGAGTGGCGTCGATGGGCTCAAGGAATCCACGCACCGAA